GAGTTTTGTTTGACCTTTGGGGGGAGAGTGGTCAGGATGGGCATGGCCAACTTGACCTCGTGTCAGGGTGCCTGTGGTGACCCAAGGACTCTGCCAGCGAAAATAGAGTATGGCCCTCCTGAGCTCTGTTTTCACTGGCCAAGGTCTACAGGAGGCTGTTGCAGCAGAAAATGGAGCATGGGAGGGCCACATGTAGCATTCCCAAGCTCCATTTTTACACTATGGGCTGGTCCTTTGCTGTTTCTTGGGTTGCCCCATGGGCCAGTTCTAAGCACCCCATGGGCCGCATCCAGGATGCAGGCCTTGAGTTTGACACCCCTGGGCTAGATGGATAGCATTTGTGCTGGTTTAGAAACAACCACAGTCAATGCAAATATATAGTATAAGGTAGTTTTGAAAGCTGGATTGATTTTTCTTGCTGCAATGCAGCTTTTTGAAGCCAGAGTAGAACTGATGATTTCTTTCCAGTGCCCTAATTTGGTTGAGTTTCTGGGTGGTGTATTTTTTCATTGGGCTCAAGAAACTCAAATCAGCCTCCTTCTCTCTGTAGAAAAACACAATTCAACTATTGCAGCTTCATAGTAAACTATCCAAATCTAGCAGATGGATAGATTAGATTGAACACATGGAAGAAATATTTCAATATTCTTATTCTCAATAATTACCAATCAGCTTCATAGTAAACTATGCAAATCTAGCAGATGGATAGATTAGATTGAACACATGGAAGAAACATTTCAATATTCTTATTCTCAATGACTACCGATCAGTTTCATTATTCTATTTAGAGAGGAAGAGATAAAACAACTGCAGTGTGGAATCAACCTCAGAGATGGTGAGTTACATCAAATAAACTTGTGGTTTATTTGATGGGTGCCTGGAGAATCTCCAAAACAGCAATAGGAATAACACTTAGACTTATATACTGTTTCACAGTGCTTTACATCCCTCTTTAAATGGTTTACAGAGTCAGCAATCTGGGTCCTCATTTTATTGACCTCAGAAGGATGGAAGGCTGTCAACCTTGAGCTGGTGAGACTCGAACTGCCAAACTGCTGGCAGACAGCCTGGAGTAGTGCATTCTAACCACTGCGTCACTGTGCACATAATTCTACCTTTTGTTCCTTAGGCTGGTCTTCTGAGGAGCATAATGATGAATGTGGACTGGTAGTTATCCTTAGATACTGTTAACTGTTATTTGAAACAAAATAAACTATATGTTACATGCATTTCAACATTGTGTTCTGTAGTATCCATCAACAAATGGGCAATGTCCAAATGTGTAAGGACTGTAACTTTTCAATTTTCCTACCAGCTACTTAAGAGTCCTGAAGGTTCAGACCCAAAATCTCATTGAGGAAATGTGCTTCTCTGAGGAACTGATATATTTAAAAAATTCAGATTTCAGATAACAATTAGAGGCACATTCTTCAATCTAGTATCTAAAAAAAAAAGTTGTAACTAATGTATAGCAACTTATGAGACAAGGTAAGTGTTAATAAGAATTGCATTATAACAAAATTAAGACGACTACAAATTTCCATCTCTCTGTTAATACATGTTAAAAAATTTTTTAGCAGACTTTATCTACAGTAGCGTGTTCCTAAAGGAGTTACTAATCTGATATGTCTCATTTATTTTATTTAATGAATGGCAACTGCAGAGGTCATGCAATCACTGTTATAATAATGTAGTTTAAATAAAGCATCAAAGCAAATATATATCAACATATTATATATGTGTGCTCATATGTATATACAATATGTGGAAAATAAAGTATAGCATGCATATACTTTGTATTAAAGCAAGATAAAATCATCATAAAATATGGACCCACAGAATTGCAATGGGATACATATTTTAATTTGATATCTAAGGAAGCTAATCATCTAACTGCTTCTGGTGTGGCTGGGGTGAGATCATCTCATCTGCCTTGAAATTTCCTGAGGAGATATTCTCGAGGTATATATTTTATCATTTGTTCCAGTGCATCACAGTCACATTGCAGACTCTTGACCATTCCCCATTTAAAGAGCTTTGCCCTAGTTCTGGCATAGCCTGTCTTGATTCTATTCAGGTGGCTCCACATTTTCCAGGGCAACTGCATTCCTGGAAGTGGTTTTATTGGATATGTATGATCTGTTTGATTGTGGTTATTAAAAGTAATCCATCTCAACTGCTATTCACCATCTAGATTGTAAGACTGTGATGTTATTCAAAATCAGTTTCCTAAATTTAAACCTGGTGAGAGATGGCCTAATATTTTATATATTGGAAGATATCTAAGAGTCAATGGGATGTTTATCTTATTCTGCTCTCGAACGGTCTCTTGTTTGTCATCTGAAATCAGGAGGGGGCAATGTTAGAAAGACCATGCAGCCATGAGAGTGGTGCAGATTTAATGGCTCCAGACATCATTCTCATTGTGTCATTAAAATGAACATCAATCTTGTTGTATGATAACTTCTTCCCCACACAGTTGCACAATATTCAGCAATACAGCATACTAATGATTGCACCATTATACATAATGTTTTGGCTTGTACTCCCTCAGTCTGTTTCTGCAATTTTCCTAATCAAGTTGTTCCTAGTTTTCAGTTTTTGTCCAATTAATTGAGCAATCAGATATGTCTCCTGACTAAAAGAGAATAATTTAAAAGGAATCCAGGAATATTACAGCAGACATCTTTGAAAGTGAATAATTATGGCATATAATTAGATGTGACTTTTCCAGTCAACTCGATATCATACTGGTTTTTATAAACCAGTTCAGGCAGAAATAGTGTGGTTAGCATGAGCATAAGTGTGTGCATGCATACTTCAGACCAAAAATGTTAGGAACTCTGAGGACTGAAATATATAACCTTCTGAGGATGAGCTTACATTATGTTTCTCAACTGGTTTTGTTATGATCAATGTTTTGTGTTGACATCCACAATCACCTTATGTTAGTTAATTACAATAGCAGACTGAAGAAGGATCTCAATTTTAATTCTGAAGAAAAAACACCTGCATACCCAAATCTGATACATGTTCCAAATTTGTATAAGAGATCTATCTCAGTTGTCTAGGCAAAGATCTGTGCCCAAATATTACTGAAAACATAGAGGAGAGCGGGTTTTTTTAAATATAAGAAATTGATATGTATTCTGATTGAAAAGTAGCATATTCTGAGATAAGGCCTTGCCAATAATTTAAAAAAAAAAACATTAATACTGTCAGTTCTGACCCTGCACTGGCCAAGTATTTTTATGTGTTGTTTTTGTCAGGTATAACATGAAGGACCAATAAGAGAAGGAATTAAGCTAGAAGAACTCTTAAATTAGGCTGTAGGCCTTTTTAAAAATTAAAGGCCTACAGCCTTTTTAAGATGTTCTGCTGATATGTAATTAAAGGAAAATAGATCATTTTGTTCTTTCTAGCTCACTCTGAGAATGTTTGTATCATTCAGCCCCAATGTTTACAAACCATTGACAATAGTGTAAAGTGACCAGACGTCCTGCTTTTGGCGGGACAGTCACGATTTTTCAAAATTTGTCCCGTGTTCCGCGGCGTGTTCAAAAAGTCCCAATTTTTCAAAAGAAAGAAAAGACGCCGAATCATCAATTTTAAAAAGGACGCCGTTAAAAAAAAAGTTTTTATTTCTCTGAAGTGTCGTTCCCGATGTGGCCTTTAGAGGGCAGTGGTTTCCCTCCCTCCACTCGGCTCGCTCGCAGCGCCAGACGAGGGGCGAGGCTCCCTCTCCTCCTGCACATGTGCACGCCGATGCGGGACATTTTTCTGACAGTCGTCCGGTGGCTCGGGCGGGGTGGGGGGCTTTCTGGCGGCACGGCGAGGAGGAGGCTCGGTCCCGGGCCAAGCGGCTC